CAGGTCCCATAAAAAATTCAACTGCTACTACTATTCTCGTCTCAACATATGTCTCACTGCAACATATGGCCAGTGGTTTTCGATCTTTGCCAAGGAAAATAAGCAAGCTGAAGGGCTTTTTAATATGCAGATCCCATGGCTCCAACCCAGACCCACTGGATTAGATCTCAGGCATTTTTCTTTTTTACGTTCCACAGATGTGCTGCAAAGATTGAAAACTACAGTATTTAGTCGAAACTGCCAATGGACAACCCATCAGAATCTACTGGGATCACAAATGAATCAATTAAGTAGGATGGAGACCTGAGAACCCACATTTTTTGAAAGCTCCCTGAGTGCTTATGATGCACAACTTGAAACACTACCGTGGAAGAGGTGTTACCCTCTTAGCCAGGATACATCTGCTGTGGCCTCTCTGCTCAATAATTCCAGGAGCTACAAAGGAATACCTCTAAGGATTTGACATGGGTCAAATTACTGCCTTGGTATATAATACACATTCGGGTCTTTATGCACGTGTTCATTCCTCGAGGGCCAGTGTCACCTACTCAAACAGGAATAAAAGTTATTCCATATCAATTCATGTATATATCTTAAAACAGATACGAAGGGCTATTCTCTTCTTCACTAAAAACCAAACATTAATATTTACCATGCCAGATAAAGAAACTTCTTAAGTTTTAAAACAAAGTAGCATCCAATCTAAGCACTGCCCCAATTTTCCTAATCAAAGTATTTTTATAACTACATGATGAAACTACTAAAGCCAGAATGACATTTAGACATTTTATGACTTACTCATTTTTCCAAGAAAACAAAGTTTACTCCAGGAAACTGCATTTTAAAAATATTCTAACTAAAATCTCCCCTTTACTCCAAACCAAACTGCATCCACAAATGAAGACTAACACACAGCAGTACTTAAATGTTTAAACTACTGAATCTACAGTAAGTGAAACAACCTAATAGTAAAAAGTCACAAGACAACCATAAACAGTCTCACAAATTCTTACTGTAACAGAATAACCTCTGTGATGTGTTCAAAAGCTGTAAAACTGCGATAAGTAGAAAATTTCTACCTAGTAAATACTATCTAGAAAATGGTTCAAATACACTATGGTAAAGATAAACCTAAATGCAATTAAGGCACAGAATAAAAATATATACATTGTTATGGGAGTCAAAAATGTGTTATGCTACAGGAGTGAAAACTAACATGTTTAATCTATAATTACCAGATCTATTACCAAAGAGCATGACTTCCTCTTAGGAGGAATAAGGTATGAAATTAAAATGACAGCTTCTAACTGATGAAGAGCCGGCATATCCTTGAAACTCTTAAAAATATATTCACACGGGGCTTCCCGGGTGGCACAGTGGTTGAGAGTCCGTCCACCTGCCGATGCAGGGGACACGGGTTTGTGCCCCGGTCTGGGAAGATCCCACATGCCGCAGGGCAGCTGGGCCCGTGAGCCATGGCCGCTGAGCCTGCGCTCCGCAACGGGAGAGGCCACAGCAGTGAGAGGCCCGCGTACCGCAAAAAATATATATAGATAGATAGATATTCACAGGTATGTCATAATATTATGATAAATTTGAAAGCTAACCAAAAAACAAAAAAAAAACAAAAAAAAAACCCCAAAAACCATGACCAGACATGACGCATCTTTTCTTTTGGTAAGGGCGGGAGCCGCGTTATGCAGCATGTGGGATCTTAGTCACCCGACCACGGTTCAAACCCGTGCCCCTTGCATTGGGAGTGAGGAGTCTTAACCACTGGACCACCAGGGAAGTCCAGATGTGTCTTTTGTTACATTAAAAAATAAATATATTATTCAAGACAAAGTAAGTATTTATTTTATACTTAAAAGCCCATACTATTAGTTGTGCTGGAATACTAAAAGGAATATTAGAAAGAAATGTGAGGTGGCATCTTAAAACGAACCAAGTAAACCTGCATGACTTTTATTACCCAGGCAAGCTGAACACTTACCATTTGATTCCTCCCTTTATACTGAACAGTGAGAAAAGAGAAGCACATAAGAGGGCCTAATTTCAAAGCTTTTAAAAACAAAAACAAACATTAAAATTGTTTAACAATTTTTCCCAAAGACAGTTTTCAAAGTAAAAATGAAGAATAACTAATGCAACAATGGCCTCAATGTTTCTTCTATTAACACAAACCAGTCAAGACTAGTATAGAGCTTTTGTTAATATTTCTTTAGTGCTTGATTAGTTTATATTAATAAGCATTATGGAGCTAGGAACCAAATAAAACTGATACCAAAATGATGAAAAACCTGTGTCTATTCATAATTTCTAATCTCAAAAATATCTAAAAATAGAAGACTATATTTTCCCCTAGATATTTAATTCCATTACTACATACTATGATTCCTTTCCAGAAAATTAAGAACATAGTAACTTTGTGGCCTAACATGAGTATTAATTTTAAAAAAAAGTCACCAACACTCCAGCCCAGGATTCAGCAAACTTTTTCTATAAAGGGCCAAGGAGTATTTTAGGTTTTGTGGGTCAAAAATACTCTGTTTAGTAGTCTTTTTTTTTTTTTTTTTTCTTGTCCATCAACCCTTTAAAAATGTAAACACCATCCTCGGCTCTGTGGTAGGGTGGTATGAAAATGGGTGGAGGTTCCAGGCTACAGTTTGCAGACCTCTGCTCCAGCCAAATTAATCTTATGATGCTTCAAATATGCAACACATACTTTAAGTAACTACTTAAAAATATCTTAATATTAAAATATTTGATCATCTAAATTTTCTAAGAGCATATTTATGAAACAATAAATAATCTATTTTTGAAATGCCAATAAATCTGTCATATTTTTAAATATCTAATTTGTTTATTCTCAAAGTTCCTTGGCTATCTATAAAATTTTACCCACCACTAAAATGATTTTGAAACATTCGAATGTTTTTAAGAATTTGCAGTATTTCAATTTTAAACTGTAGCAACATTTCTAAATAGTTTTTCAATAGAAAAGTAAAGTCGAAACTATCTGTTGTCCTTTATTAATTATACCTATATTAAATACCACTGAACATATTAAAAAACACTGGTGTAAGTTTTTTTAAAACTGAAATTTCAAAGAATGAAGAGTTTGCAATCAAGCTTATGATGTAGCCAACTTAAGTTTAACAGAATATTTTATTTAATCATTTCCTTCTGGTCCCTAAATGATTTACATCATTACACATAGCTACACATTTGCTCCAAGAATATAAAGTGTATGCCAGAGGAATATTAAGAAAGCTAATTCCACCAACTTTACTATAAGCAGGCAGTTTAAAAAAAGATACGTTGAGGTACATAAAAGAACTGGGAAGAATTTCCTAATCCTCAATGGAATGAAATAAAATTTCCCTAAGAAATATATCACATGTGGTTTACATCTTGACTGTATTTTAAAATAAAAACGCTAGTTTTCAAAATATATGCGCATGAAATTTTTTTTAATTCCATTCTTTTATAACATCATAAAATATCCTCACATTGATAAATCCAACAGATTTATGTTCAAATGTAACTATGAAAGACCACCATTTAAATACGTCACTATGCAAGTGCTATGTATCCAAGAGGAAAAGAGAACTGCAATAATGCTAGAAATTATTCAAAAAGAAAATTCAAAATGTACTCAACTAATTTTCTAATGGGATTTATAAATCTATTAATTTAAACTTTTAGTGTGACTTATAAATAATAAAAAAATTTCTAACTGAATTTAAATGCCATATAATTTTCATTCAAAGGATATTTACTTGATGGAAGGTAAGATAAAAAGTTCTTGTTGCTATTCTACTTAGGATTTATTTTGCTGTCTGTATTCATTTTAATTTAAGTATTTTTTTAATTTTCCAGGGACAAAAGAACAGGGACAGAGACAGTCAGAAAAAAGACACCAATGATTGGAATTAATACATTTAGCCTCAGAAACTTACTTTCTAAAGAATCATGGCTTTTGAACAGCTAGAGGAAAAAAATACTGGTAAGTATTTTTTAGAGTGAGTTGTTAAGCTGGCATTCATTCATCTAAGGTGAACAATGAGACTCTGTTAATTATTAAGACCCTGTGGGTTATAACCTACTTGAAGTATCCTTTTTTGCCCCACCATTTTGCCCCCCCAAAACAAAACCCTGAGTCAGATAATGTCTTTGGAACTAACTCCAGTTTACAAGAAATTCGGGCATAAACAAACTTGCTGAACATCACTGCAAGGATACAGTCAACAAAATCCAGGACGTGAGATACTCCATACGAGGAGCTGTTTCTTTAAAAAAAAAAAAGGAAAAAAAGAGGGAGAGAAAACCTATAGACTAAAATGACTGGATTTACCAACCGATCTGAAGAAACCAACTACTTTAAAAAAAAAAAAAAAGTAAGACTTGGGCGAACTGGAGCTTTTAGTAGTTAATATTAAATAACTGGCAATTTTTAAGATATGATAGAGACATTTTTTGAGAGTCCTTATCTTTTAGAGATACATACTGAAATACGAATGAAATCATATGAAGTCAGGGATTTCATATAAAAAAAATTAGGGAAAGTGGGTATACTTAAAGATGAAAAAGATCTGCTAAGTATTGATAACTGTTATGGCTGAGTGATGAGCACATACTACTTCTACTTTTCTATATGTCTACCAAACTAAAGAATTTTTAATATCAATTAACGGTGAAAATCAGTCAAGTGGAGATGATGAATTTATCAAGATTCCTAGTTTAGTAGGAATTAAAAAAAGGTAAAGTAAAATGGAGAAAAATTTAATATTCATTTCCTAAAGCATGATTATCTTCAGAAACTAATTTTAATTTATTACCTGTAAGAGGTTAAGAAATTCGTTAGTTTAACATAAACATGACAAATTCAGAAAGATAAGAAAATATATTACTATATAAAGCAGAATCTAAAGAATTCTAAACATATATCATCCACCTGACAATGTAAAATCATTTTAGTTAACCAGTATTTTACTTACATTTTCCATATAGTTTGGCTTAAAGCCCTCCTGCTGTCGCCTCAGCTCCTCCTGTTCTCTGTGTCGGATCATTTCCTCTTCACGACGACGGTGCTCTTCTTCATGCCTGAGAGATTTTTAAATAAAAACTCAGGGTGGTTGACATATAAGCCATAATACGGTATTTTATTTCAGGTAAAACAAAATCATTTATGTATATCATTTATTTATACTTTATGCCTAATCTGTGATAACGAGTGGCTTACCAGATTTACCTTCCTTTTATTTTGCTCTAAACCATTACTAAATCAAACAAACCAATAAAATAATTTATCTAGGGTAAATCAAAAAAGTAAAATAACAGCATATAACTAGGATAATTATATGCTTACAGTCAAAAAATCCAGAACCAAAAGCTCAAGCCAGTACTCTATTACTGCACAAGAGAAAGCCTGGGATTCACAATCACTGGCACAGCAGAGTTAGTTCTTAGAGACACTCAGAACCTATTCCAATACAAGCCACTGCAAAGGACCACATTGCCTAGACAAAAATCCTACTACGTGCAAAAGGAAGCCTTAACAAACATTCTCTCCCCCACTTCATTAATGCACTGAGGAAAGTATGCACCTGGAGCAGGTGTCTGATTACCACCTGTTTTCACAAATTAAGTTTTATGGGACAATCATTCCCTCACTGTCTGTGGCTACCTTTGGGCTAGAGCAGTGCTGAATAGCTGATACACAGACCATATGACATGAAAAGCCTAAAATATTTACCATGTAGCCCTTTCCCAGGAAAAGTATGCCAACCTCTGCCCCAGAGATATCAAGCATGGAACAACAACTACAAGACAAACAAAAAAGATATGTATGTGCAGGATTACTATTAAATCATAATTAGTTACAATATGATTAAGAGGGAAAAACCTACAAAATAATATTAAACTAATAGTCTGACATTATACTGACATTTAAATCAATGCAAACTCAAATATACATGCTCTGCACTCAAAAACAAAAAAGTAATTTAAATAGCAAAGACTATATAATGCTGATGCCCCCTCAGTAGGTCTCATTTTCCAGGCTACTCTTATAAGCACTCTTTTACACAAGTATAGATACTTCGTTGTTGTTTTGTACACCAAACACAGTACCTGAACTAAAAGAAATGGCGGTTTCACCCACAGCCAGCAAGAAAACAGGTTGTTAGGACTTCATATCAGACCATGTGCAAGTAACAAGACAATGTTCCTAAGGTATTTCAAGCAAACTCTAGATTTTGAGATATCTACGTCCCCAGTATAGATCTCTATTCAAGGAAACAGAATATTCCAATAAACCGGTTAATCCATTTCTAGTACATTAACACACTCATAAATTTTATGCTTAAGAAAATACTTTCATGTTCATACACTGCTGAAAATGTACATAGTGACAGGAAAAATTCTCTTATTCAAAAACTCTAAGGCCACATGTGTTTTTCAGACTTTAAAAAGGGTTTAATATACTATTATGATATCCCCAGTAGGATCTATTATGATACCCCAGCAGTACCCAATAATCAACACCATTAATACTTCTGTAGTAAGATGAACATTCACATTCTACGAATATAACAAAGGTTTGGCACGACCACAACGTAAAACAGGTCAGATTTTGCCTCATACAGGCTCATGTCAGATCCTGCCACTAAATGATACTCAAAGCTTTTTGGTCTTCAAGATTGCAACAATGACTTTGTTGAGGACCAACGTGTAGCAAACAATTTTATGTGTGCAAATCCATTTCCAGTAAACTAAACAGAAATATCTATACATGTGTGCAAGAATGTATACACACAGATACAAGACTGTACATTAATTAAAGGCAAAAGGTTGAAGACATTCAATTACAAATGAGGGACAAGGAATACAATACAACCATTACAAAGAGGCAGATTTGCATTTACTGACATGAAACAATGTCTAAGGTACAGTGTCAGAAAAAAGGCAAGCAAAACAATAGTATTCCTATTGCTGCATCTAAAAACCATTTGTAGGAGCAGAGAAGAGAGTATGAGAGTTTCTATCACACTGGGGATAATCTGGGGAGACAAGAGCATTGCCCTTTTTCTTTTGTACATATACATATCGTGTGAGTTTTTTTAAACATGTATTGCCATAACATTTTTAATTTAAAAGATATTTTAAACAAAATTTATAATGTACTTCTCCCCATTGTTAGAGCAATTTTTTTCTGATAAAATGTGAGACTACATTTATATCTGGAGAAAAAATATGGTAAAAAGGTATAAAATCACTTTAAACATTTGCTATTTTTTTCCTTCCATTCCATTGCCTATAGATTCCAGAGTTTCTACTTTATTTTGTGATTACACCACACTGACAATTCCATAATATAAATTTACAGGCAACATATAGGAACATTCCCTACTGTACATACGTTTGCTTTTAATTTTTTTCCTTCCACAAGATGCTTTAACAATTATCTTTATATTTAATGTCTCTTTGGATCAAGGATAATTTCCTAGGTTATATTCACAAATGTAACTAATAAGAAGCATGATGAATTTTAACATCCTTCATGTTATACTTAATTGGAAACTGACAAAACCTCTATTTTACAATTTATTTTAATTGGAAGCCCACTATTTGTCTCATATTTTAATAGGACTTTGAAACCTGAGAGGCTTTAGGCACTAAGCTATGATACGACTGATATAAAAATGTCCTGCTCTTTGTTCCAGTCCAGCACTATGGCCTCCACACCCACCAAAGGCCTCAGTCCATCTGATGATCTTTATACTTTGTCAAATGACATAAAAAGGGAAAGAATGGATGGATGGGTAGATGAGTGAGTAGGAAGGAGTAAGGCAAGGAAAGACGAGAACAAATGAACAAGTACTAAGTGGGCCAGTTACAGCCTGAACCAGCCCATCTAAGCCCTGTCCGCCTTCACTGTCACAGCCTCTGAAGAAGTGACCCACGAAAACCTAACTTATTTGTAGCATCGAAATGAAAACCAGAAAATTTTGTATACTCCAAATTATTTAATTTCTTTCAAATATATTTTCTTAAGCAGTTTTTTCAGTCTCCCAACTAAGGTAAACAGAAAGGCCGTGTCCAGACTCTCTGGCTGTCTCACGTGGCAGCCTCCTGAGTCAGACCAACCTCTGCAGGCTGCTGCATTTTTATCTGCTTTCTGCTGCAAGGGCAGGATATATTTGACAATTATTAGTATAGTAAGTTCCTAGACACTATTTTTTTCCTTTCCTTCATACATGCTGCAAAATAACTCAATTTTAACACATTATTTACATTTCTTAAATCAAGAAACAATTCTTACAATTAATTTCAAAACAAACTCCACAGGCACAAGTAAAGATTAACAGATTTATCACTGGCTGTATCTGCTAGAATACAGCCAACCATAAAAGTTACGCATCAAATTATCACCTAATTGTTGACATATCTTTATATTGTTAGTACACACTTATCTGAATTTCAAATTGAATCTGATATACCTCTGCAATATTAAATAAGATTAATGGAAGACCATTCGGTGAAAAATTACCAGGTACATAGAATACTTATCACGTCAAGCAACCAGTATTTCAATTATTAAACAAGTAACCTATTAAAAATTCCAGTAAGTACTGCGTTCTATTTTGTGCGCTTCACTTTCTTTTTAATAATCTGATCATATTCCAACTAATGTCTGCCTCCCTCCCAGATTACCTAAGTGCCACACCAGCAGAGCTTGTGTCTTTTGTTTTCCACTGTATTCCCAGTACCTAGAGTCCTCTTTTTCATTTTTTTATTTCCAACTAATTTTAAACTTACAGAAAAGTTGCAGAAATAGTAGAGTTCCTATATCTCCCTCATGCAGCATCCCCTAATATTAACATCTTCCATAACTATAGTACAATTATGAAAACCAGGAATTCACACTGGTACATTGCTACAGTTCAACTCTAGGTCTTACTCAAATTTCACCAGTTTCCCCACTATGTCCTTCTTCTGTTCCAGGACCCTATCCAGAATCTCACATTGCATTTAGTTATTATTTCTCTTTAGTCTCCTCCAGTCTGTAACACTTCAGTGTCTCTTGGTCTTTCATGACCTTGACATTTTTAAAGAGAACTGATTATTTTGTACAGTGTCCTTCAATTTAGGTTTGTCTTAAGTTTTCTCACGACTAGCATAAGGTTATGAAGCTTTGGCAAGAAAACCAAAGAAATGACAATGTACACTTCTGGGTGCATCATATCAAGGGGTGCCTGGTGTCCGTGTCTTATTAAGGGTGATACGAACCTAAACACTTGGTAATGGTGGTATCTGCTGGGTTTCTCCACTTCAAATTTACTATGTTTCCATTTGTACCTCATACAAATTTGAGACTCCACAAATCCTGTATCCCAAGTTTTGCGCAAAACCTTAGCACCTACTGGGAAATCTTGAATGAAACAACTACAGGCGTGCCTCATTTTATTGCCCTTCCCAAAAATTGCATATTGCTTTTGCACACTGAAGTTTTGTGCCAACCCTGTGTTGTCAGATGGTTAGCATTTTTTAGCAAGAAAGTATTTTTAATTAAGGTACACACATTGTTTTTTAAGACATCATGCTATTGCACACTTAAAACACTACAGTATAGTATAAAGGTAACTTTTATATGCACTGCGAAACAAAAAAATTCACTTTATTGCAATATATTGTGCTGGTCTGGAACCAAACCCACAGTATCTCCAAGGTATTACTGCAGTATTCACCCATTGGTAATTTTTCTCTCAGACTCATTTCACATTTATTATTTGGAATTCTACTTCTAACAACTAAGGAAAAGTTGTCCATTCTCCCCATTTATTTACTTACTCATTAAAATAACTTCTATCAGCACAAACTCACGGATATTTACTTTATTCAACAGTGTGAAGTCTAATACTATCATTTTTTATTTTGTTGTTGAAATTGTTCCAACTTTGGCCCTTAGGAGCACCTTCAGTTTGGCTCCTGTGTTCTCTCAACATGCCCTAGCATTGTTCAAGTACTTTGCTTCTCTCTGACACAAGATTTGTCAGGCTCATCTTGGACTTTTCAATCCTGGAATCAACCACTTCTCCAAAAACCCCTGGTTCCCTTTATTGGAGAATGGTGCTCAGAAACAAAAATCTGGGCATTAGATGAGCTCATTGTTCCTGAGGCATCACTGCTTCTAGATGGACAGGGCTAGGAAATATGTATATATATATGAACCGATGTATATATACATGTCTATATTTCTGTATCTGTCTAGATTAAATGCCACTCAGTTCATACTGATACTCAGAATCCCCATTAAACATCACAGGAGTCGTTTTAATTTTAGCCTTTCTCCCTTCTTTCTTTCTCCAACAATGAGAAACCTGGTTCATACTGATCTGTACTAATATGTTCACTTAAAAAAGTACATATTATTTTCAATAAAGTCTTGATTAAAGAGAGAAAAAAAGTATATACATAAAGTAGTTTCAGAATTGCAAACCTATATCCCTATTGGAAATACATTTACTAACTAGATTACAGAATTTATATATTGTTCTTGCCACTAGCCTATAGTATTCAATCAAGATACAGTTTTCCAAAGTTATTTAGGTTCCTTATTTTCTTCCCCATCTCCTTCCAGTGTGACAATGCTGTCCATTTATATATAATATAGTTAAGTTCATCTGTTATATTTTTATTCCCTACTTTGGGTTCCCCCACATTGATTGTTTTTTTCTTGGTTTTTGTTTTTCTTTTTGTTGACTGCAGTACAGTTGATTTACAATGTTAGTTTCAGGTGTACAGCAAAGTGATTCACTTATACATATATTCTTTTTCATATTCTTTTCCATTATGGCTTATTACAGGATATTGAATATAGTTCCCTGTGCTATACAGTAGGACCTTGTTGTTTATCCATTCCATACATAGTAGTTTGCACCCCACGTTGTTTAGTTTTAATTACTTATTATTTTAGCACACTAGTATAGGGCACTAATTTTAAAAGCCTACTTGTCAAGGATAAATGTAAGAGAAGAAAGCTGGATTCAGGTAGGTTTATGTTAGGGGAGAGGAGGCTTCCTTTTCTTTGTACAAGTAGAGGAGACTTTAACACATTTACATGAAGTGGAAAGAAGCAACAAGAAAGAAACTGAAAAAGGTCCCTCATGTAAGTTCATGGCGGGAGTTATTTACACCAGTGGTTCTCAAAATTTAGGATGCACCAGAGTCACCTGGAGGATTTACCAAAGCACAGGTGAATCAGCTTATGATTCGGTAGTTCAGAGGGAAGGCTTGAGACTTTCTAACAATCTCCTAGGTTAGAATGCTGATGCTGCCTGCCAAGTACCATAAATTGAGAATAAGTAGGTTAGAGTAAAATCAGAGAAGTACCAAGACAGAAATACACAAACGTTGGTATAATCAGGTATAAAGTTGGAAGAAAAACACTAAAATATATGGTCTAGTACCTATCTCCTGACCGTGAAGACACTTCAAGCTCATTAACAGTTTTTCACTTTATTTCCCATGAGCACCTAACTTCCTGTCACAAGCACTTACTACTTTTATAGCACTTTCAAAACAAAATTTTAAGTTTGCTTTAATCTATAATATCTTTGTTTATAACAATTCCTAATTATGTTTTTGTTTTTTTCTTTTTTTGCGGTACGCGGGCCTCTCACCGTTGTGGCCTCTCCCGTTGCAGAGCGCAGGCTCAGCGGCCATGGCTCATGGGCCCAGCCGCTCCGCGGCATGTGGGATCTTCCCGGACCAGGACACGAGCCCGCGTCCCCTGCATCGGCAGGCGGACTCTCAACCACTGCACCACCAGGGAAGCCCCTAATTATGACTTTTGAAACTTGTAAGAGTAATACTTATCTCATATTTTACAACTGAATACTGCAGGTACAAGAAAAGCTGTTAATTTTTGTTTCTACATCTTGGATCAACTACTCCCTTAAACTTCCTTACTTAACCTAAAAGATTTTAAGTTGCCCATCACAGTTCTCTATTATGTACTGAGATCTTTAATGCCCATACCCTTTTTACCATGGATTCCAGATATCTTTTTTAAACAAATTATCACAAGTACAAAAATGCTTAACGGCATTCAGAGTAGTATTATACACATGAAAAAAAAACTCAGATCAACGCAAATATATCCATCTCTGGAAAAATGGCCCCGTAAATCACGGTGCATTCTTACAATAAATTATACGAAACAATGCCTAAGCCCTTTATGTAAGTTCACATTGTCTGTAAAGTGTCCATAATCAGCTATAAAAAACATAGAATAACAAAGATTTATGTTATCTCAAAGATTTATGTTATCTTCTGGAGTAATTCCCTAAATGTGGTCAGAAATCGACAATTTTGGTTTCCTCCCCTGTATTTTCCAAGTTATATAACTTGTTGATAACAGGCATTGGGAGTTTTATTCATAACATACATAATGAAACCTACATATATATTCACGTATATGTTACAGTGATGTTCTTTACCTCAGTTGTATTTGCTTCCGTTTTTGCAGCTCTTGGTTTCTGAGTTCTTCTAAGCGTCTGAGTTCCTCTTGACGCCTCATTAAATCTACAAGATATTGATTACAGATTAATATTTTTAGCTTCCCCTTCTGTATTTTTATATTCATAAGCATATAGATTCTCTATGACTGGCAATATATGTAGTAACTTATTCATACTCATGCACCTAGCTTCTCTTTTTGTCTATCACATCATTTTACAATGAAAGATTATAAGCTGTGTAATAAATTAATATCACTTCTGGGCCCATTTCTTCATGTGTATGAAGAAAATAATAAATCCATCCTTATATTAAGAAATTAAAATGGGCAGTAACTGTTTTAAAACAGGGCCTAGAACATATTAAAAATAGAATAGTAGCTACATTTTCATTTACATAGTTTTTAAACAAATTAGAATTTTTTTCAGCAGCAAGCTCAAAGCCCAAAAAGATGCCTTGGCAACCATCAGCCGAGGGCATGTAAGAACCAGACCAAACAGTACGAATAATGAGATAGGACATGGCATAAAACTCAAAAACATCCCTCCCAACACAATCAGCAGGTTTCTTCCTGCATCAGGTCTGTGTCATATGAAGGAGGGCAATGAGGAGACAGTTCCTGAAAGGGGAAAAGGGCTGAATACTGATATGAACAAGACCACTTTAAACAGGACGAGCATTCCCACTGTCACCAACCCGTGTCACATCATCAAGAACAGGGGTTCCATAAACAAAAACAAACAAACAAAAAAACAATAAAATATATTTCCAGAAAAAGAAAAAAAAAAGAACAGGGGTTCCACTGCAGAATAAGATGATGAAAGATACATTTGTTTTGCACATCTGAGAAGCAGTGGATAAACTTCCCAAGTATGAAAACTCTTTGTACTATCTTACCAAATTACATGTGCACGCATGCATAAAATATATATATACACATATACAGATATATGAATACCCTGAATAACACAAGTATTGGTTGTTTTTATTTTCTTTTTCTAAAATCATGTTACCTGAAATTTCTAAAATAAACACATATTATCTTAATTGAATGTTTCTTAATAAATTGCTATATTCAGAATTCACTTAACATAATACTTAACAGTTAAAGTTAATATTTCATGTGCCAATAACTCTAAACATCTTAACCATAACAACACAGGCATAATTATAACAAGGTATTATCCTCCCTACAGATTGAATTATGTATCAATTATGTCAAAGAAAAAAGATCCAGACAGATTGTAAATGTGCTCTAGCCATCCAGCCACTACATGGTTCAACTAGGATGTATAGCCAAATCTATCCTTATTCCAAAGCTCTTTCCAAAATGCCAGCATTGCAAACCTGGCTGTTCAGCCTCAACTGAGAAACTTAAAAAAAAAATTTTTTTAAAGATTTTCGGACTCTGCTCAGGAAAGTCTGCTTTGGTATATGGGATAGGAACCAGGCGATTCTGATAACATGCCAGTTGAGAAAACATTTAGCTATCTTAAAACCCAAACATGACTACAATTAAGTTCAAACATTTTTACCATTAGCTGTCAACCTTGACTACTCATCAGAATTACTTAAGTACCTTTTAGCCATAGACCAATTAAATCAAAATCTCTTGGGATGTGGACCAGCTATGAGTATTTTTTTTTTGAAGCTCCCTAGATGACTCCATTCTGCAACCAACACTGAGACCCCATAACTATCATATAATTTCTATAGCTGGTGAGACTTGTAAAGACCAAAAATATACAATCTATTTATATTCCTAAGGGGAAATGCTTCAATAAGCCAAAGCATGGGAAGTATCTTACTATCATTAATTACCCAAGAAAGTCAATACAGTGCATCCTGTAACAGTTTTATTATTGATTTTGTAGGTTAGCTGTTCTTAAATCAGGGGCACATATAGTAATAAATGTAAAATTGCATTTTCTTCCATGAAAAGGAATAAGAAAAGAACATAAATGTTTTCTGACAACTGGATCTTCTCCTTTTAAGCTGGGCCAGTTAAAACAGGTGCTTTAACCTCTCAGATCGTGCTTTCTCACCAGTAACATGGGTATAATAATTAGCTCAAAGGATCTGACAATCAAATTATCAGATAAGCACATTATCTAACAGTCATGAGGAGCACTATCAACTTAAAACAGAACTACCATTTTACATCTTCCAAATTATTTCCTTTAAGTTGCTAATATCCAGGGTTCCTGAAATTTCACTAAAGCTTATATATTTGTATACTGCCATGATAATATTCTTCTGGAGGAAAATGTTACCCAAAAAACAGGTAACCTGAGGTGCTTTTTATCCTTTAACCCAGTAAATTACACTCATAGGAATTTTTCTTATAAAAATAATCCAGGGAATTCCCTGGCAGTCCAGTGGTTAGGACTTGGTGCTTTCACTGCAGGGGCCCAGGTTCAACCCTGCCGGGGAACTAAGATCCTACAAGTCGCACACGGCCAAAAAAAAAAAAAAAATCCAAAGGCATCCACAGACATAAAGTATCAGCTGCAGCACTACTCACTAACAGACCAAATAACATTTAAAACTGTGTACCTAACAAACACAAAAGACGTAAAACTGTATCTATAATTGCAGTATATCATAAACACGGGTATACAGCAAAAAGGGAATAGAGGGGAATATGGACACATTTTAAGTCTGATTTGCTAGACTGTAGGAAAGTGTTCTCTCAATGTAATATCCTTCAAGTCATGAAGACTAAACATATGCTCTCTGATCTAACACAGCTCCTTCCTAGAAATGTAAGAACTGAATCTATAGATTGAAAGGGCACATCTGGTCCCAAGAAAAGTATGATGGTGTACAGTAAGATACATCTGGAATATAAGACTGGACAGATGGAAAGATGTAATAAAACAAGTATAGTAAAATGTTAGTAACAAAATCTAAGTATTAAATACCTTAAAATTCTTTCAACTTTTTTTTTTTTTGGCCACACCATGCAGCTTGTGGGATCTGTTCCCCAACCAGGGATCCAACACATGCCCTCTGCAATGGAAGCGCAGAGTCCTAACAACTGGACCACCAGGGATTTCCCCTCTTTCAACATTTTTATGTTTAAAATTTCTCATAACAAAATGTTTGGGCGGAAAACATATCCTGGATAAGTTACTGAACCTTAAAAGAATTCACATGGAAGCCTGTTAAAAGGATCAAGTCACAAGAAGGGAAAAAAATCCAGGTTTATCTCAGACTTTCCCACAGAAACATACTATCAAGTACTTAAGAAAGGGGAGAAAGAAGCATGAATTTTACGCCATTCAAGAGAGGGTTTAAAGTATAAGATCATGAGGACTTCTCTGGTGGCGCAATGGTTAAGAATCCGCCTGCCAATGCAGGGGACACGGGCTTGAGCCCTGGTCCGGGAAGGCCCCACATGCCGCGGAGCAACTAAGCCTGTACGCCACAACTACTGAGCCTGCGCTCTAGAGCCCACAAGCCGCAACTACTGAAGCCTGCATGCCTAGAGCCCATGCTCGGCAACAAGGGAAGCGACCGCAGTGAGAAGCTCGTGCACCGCAACAAAGAGTAGCCCCCACTAGCAGCAACTAGAGAAAGCCCGCGCGCAGCAAGGAAGACCCTACGCAGCCAGAAATAAATTAATTTTTTTAAAAAGTACAAGACCATGGATGTTTTAGAAGATGCAGGAACACTGTTTCTGTGAACCTTCTGACAGAAATCACAAGGATAAACATCAGAGAATCAAGTGATGAACAGAAAAGTCATGACTCGACATATTTAAAATAGGGCTGAGAGAATTATGTGAGAAACATGTGAGAACTACGGTTAAGGAACATTAAAAAGAAAACAGGGTCTCAAAGACACATTTGCACTTCCATTGTCCGTTGCACTATTCACAACAGCTAAGGTAATGGAAACAAACTAATGTCTATCAACAAATGAATGGATAAAGATGTGGTTGTGTACATACAGATACATAATGTACACACACAAAAAATGTGGTATACAGAAATATAGACACACACATTGGAATATTATTCAACCATCAGAAAAGGAAATCCTGGGCTTCCCTGGTGGCGCAGTGGTTGAGAGTCCACCTGCCGCTGCAGGGGACACGGGTTCGTGCCCCAGTCCGGGAGGATCCCACGTGCCGCAGAGCGGCTGGGCCCGAGAGCCATGGCAGTTGAGCCTGCGCTCCGCAACGGGAGAGGCCACAACAGTGAGAGGCCCACGTACCACAAAGAAAAAAAAAAGAAAAAAAAAAAAGGTAGTGAAGCAAAAAAATAACCTGTATTAAGTATAATGGGATTTGGATCTAGAAAGGATTACACAAACAGCAGTAAAATAGAAATGAAGCAATTGTTAAAAGGAACTGGTGTGTCAGTAAGAATCAACATTTACAAAAATTTGCTAAGATATATACATATTGACTGCAACACTGTTTTTACTAACAAGCTGGAAAGAGAACTAGACATCAATTAAAAGAGGATAAGCAGGGCTTCCCTGGTGGCACAGTGGTTGAGAGTCCGCCTGCCGATGCAGGGGACATGGGCTCGTGCCCCGGTCCGGGAAGATCCCACATGCCGCGGAGCGGCTGGGCCCGTGAGCCATGGCCGCTGAGCCTGCGCGTCCAGAGCCTGTGCTCTACAATGGGAGAGGCCACAACAGTGAGAGGCCCGCGTACCGCAAAAAAAAAGAGGATGAGCAAAACTAATTATAGCCATTTAACAGAGTATCATTAAGCCATTTAAAAAATGAAGCAGATCTATACGTACACACTTATACAGAAAGTAAAATAGCAAGGAGCAAAAAAGATCTTCTTGGTTATAAATAAATACACACACACACACATCTACTGACATATGCATGATTTTTTTTCATTAAAGGATACAGAAGAAACTTAAAATACAGAAGAAACAGTGACTCCTATAAGAAAGCAGAAGGCGGGGCCAGGGAAAAGGACAGTTTTCTGTGCTGAGCTTTCCATTTCCAAGATAGGTCAACTAGAGAGCCCTGTGTCTCTGCAGAGCCAAAGAACTAAGATTACTTCAAGTTGCTCCCCAACCTGAATACACCCTTAGACGCGCTCGATAAAATATAAAATTGTAGAACAAAAGAGAAGATTGTAAATTTTTTTTTTTTTAAACAAACTAACACTGAAACGAATTTATCACCTGCAGACTTTTGCTGAAATACAGGATGTACTTCAGGAGAAGTAAACCCAGAAGCAAGGACTAAGATACAATAAGCAATGTGCTTTTCTAATATTATAAACCAAAAACTGTTAACATGGGTTATAAATAAGCACACAAAAAGCAATAAAATGAAAGCTCATAGGAAATAACTACAAAATTACTCTGCTTCGAAAGTCAAAACTCCCTTAGGGGTGAGGCAGTTTTCTAAGAGCTTACAAGAGCTCTACGAGGCCTAAAGAAATGTTGTTCTTTGTCATCACTACATCCTCAGTACCTCACGTGGTGTCTTCTACAACCAACATTCAATATGGGTTCAAGTTACACTACTGCCTGTTAGTAGCAGCAACAAATATCTTTCAGCACAAATGCTTACACATCTAATCAATGTTTTTTCCTAACTATGGCATGACCATAGATAGCAGGAAAATAAAGTGGCAAAGTGCATGGCAGGCTAAGAGCTGAGAACAATTCATACTGGACAGAAGTGCTAGAGCAACCATGAGGCCTGGGAAATTAAAATTTTTTAAATTTCCCAGTAGATTCTGGTGTGTAGCTGATTTTTTTTTTTTTTTTGGCCATGAGGGGCAGCATGAGGGATCTTAGTTCCCCGACCAGGTATTGAACCCGGGCCCCCTGTAGTGGAAGAGCAGAGTCTTAACCACTGGACCACCAGGGAAGTCCCTGGTCAAATTTTTGAATCATAAAATCTAAGGCTGGATAAACTTGAAGCTCTCTCTTCCAGGTCTAAGCAGCCTATGATTCTAAAACTTTATCTTAGATAACAATTTTCAAATTTCTGCAAGAGACCTAGTATAAACGTAACTAGTTTAAACATATTAGTATATGATATGAATGACTTCAATTTTATTAGAAAAAGAGTATTTTACAGTTTATAGAAACGCTAGGTTTAGGGTCCAAATGAAACCAGAAATGTCTGACTAGTTTCTAGCGTTTGCTGAGTTTGTTTTAACTTATTTGGCATCGACGCAGTTATTCAGTGACTTGACCGTAATTGCTCAATTGCTCAATAAACATTTACTGAACAGTTTAAAAAAAAAAACTAACCTGGATTTTACCTAAAAGGAAATGAGAATCTACCAAAAAGATTTAGAGATGAATGATGATCAAATTTTCACCTTTTAAAGAAATACTGGCTCTAGTATAAAGAATACTTTAGGGACTTCCCTGGTGGCACAATGGTTAAGAATCCGCCTGCCAATGCAGCAACTACTGAGCCTGCGCTCTAGAGCCCGCAAGCCACAACTACTGAGCCCACGTGCCACAACTACCGAAGCCCGCGTGCCTAGAGCCCTGCTCCGCAACAAGAGAAGCCACCGCAGTGAGAAGCCCACGCACCACAATGAAGAGTAGCCCCCACTCATCACAACGAGGGAAAGCCCACGTGCGGCAACGAAGACCCAACGCAGCCATAAATAAATAAATAAATAAATTTATTTAAAAAAAAAAAAAGAAGTCTGCTGCAGAAATTGGGCAGCTGTCTGTGGCACCATGACCTCTGGGGGCAGTCAAGAGAAGGTACAGGGCTTCCCTGGTGGCACAGTGGTTGAGAGTCCGCCTGCCGATGCAGGGGACACGGGTTCGTGCCCCGGTCCGGGAAGATCCCACATGCCGCGTTGCGGCTGGGCCCGTGAGCCATGGCCGCTGAGCCTGCGCGTCCGGAGCCTGTGCTCCACAAGGCCGCAGCAGTGAGAGGCCCGCGTACCGCAAAAAAAAAAAAAAAAAAGAGAAGGTACATAGAACTTTACTGAAGTGCTAAGTTAAAAAAACAAGTGCAAAAAATTTAAGAGCAAAATAGAAAGCAATCAGATGCTTTATTTTAAGAAATACAAAATTCTGGGAATTCCCTGGGGATCCAGTGGTTAGGACTGCGTGCTTCCACTGCAGGGGGCACCGGCTGGATCCCTGGTCAGGGAACGAAGATCCCACAAGCTGCACATCATGGCCAAAATAAATAAATAAATAATTTTAAAAAAAAGAAATCCAAAATTTTACAGATAATGGAAAAGATGAGTAATAGGAAGAACCAGAAAAAGTTATTTGGAGAATTAACAGGAAAGAAGAAAGGGTAGAGATAAACAATATAGACAGGGATAAAAAGAAACCTAGAAACAGGAATGGGAAGGAGTAAGCTTCTGAGATATATTTAAGCAGCTTGACATGTTAGGTATCTGACCAATGAATGCGAGTAAATGTTATGTTATGTATAATACCTGTTATGAGTGCTCTTAAAAATTCAGTTAGCTCTGCCTCGTTTAAAATGTTCTTGCCAAATACTCAGAATTTAGTATTCCTGAATTCCCATACCCAACAGCACACATGAATCTTTTTCATCTCTGCCAAGGAATAGCCATCTGTGAATCTTCTGACATGTAGTAAGAATCTTAAATAGCCAGCATTTGCCATAATTCTTCTTTCCACCAAACAAAATCTTGATATGTGACTTTATGCCACAACTACATACCAAGAATCACCTCACTGGGCTTCTCTTTGCCAGCAGAAGCATATACTCACTTCTGGCAAAAGTTAACAACCTTAACCACCTCCAACAATACTATTTATGTAGGTAACTTATTTTTAGTAAGTTTTTTTTCCTAAGGAAGTTCTCTCAGAAAAGTGAAATGTTTCTTTCTAGCATTTTCAGTTTCAACTGTCTCTAAACCCCTAACTAGCGACTTAGTAATAGGTGTCAACGGGGACACCTACACGGAAACGCGTCTTACCTTGCCGCATGAGCATCAGCTGGTGCTCGTGCCGGGCCGCTTCCATTTCCGCCTCCAGTTTCTCTTTGGCTTCTCGGATGTTTCTATCAACCTGCTCACGCTGCTGCTTCTCCATTTCATCCAGAGCCTTCCAGCGAGATGCATACTCAAATTCGAATGTCCCAGGCTGAGCAAAACGCGGCGGCTGTTCTCTTTCCCTAAGTTTACAAGGAAAGACACACAGAAATGTTATGTTTCAAAGGTAAAATGACATGTAAGAACAACGAACACTACCATTCACTGAGCTATTACAATGTTCATGGCACTGTTGACAAGTACCCTCCGTGAAATATATCACGGCAACATTGTCAAGCAGGTTTTAACAAGCCTAAGTTTGAGAAACTGCCCAAAGATGCCCAACTAATTAGTAAGGGCACCAGGATTCAAACCTAGGCAATCTGATGCTACAATCTACACTCCCCTAATTAACAACTCCAATAAGGCCTTCCTGGTTTTCACTCAACAATTTTATATAAGGTAGTCTGCAACATATTACCCAAATGTCCCTTAAGTTAATTGGCTGAAGTCAGATTTTTCTCTCTAAAAGTATAACTTTTAGGGATAGTAATACAAGCAGATACAGTTATGTACCAGGTTCATTGGCTAGGCCAAAAACTGTAGGCCTAATTTACTACAACTGGCTTAATACTTGTTTGCCTTGCTAGACTATAAACTCATTGAGTACATGAAATTTCTGTTAACCACTGTAACTAAGTACATAGTACATATCTAGCACATTGTACACATTTAGTATTTATTTCTTTGAATGAATGAATAAATGACTGAAAAAATTTAAGACCTGTGAATGTACCTGACAGTCAAAGAAATTCTTCAGTTATTCAAAAGTACTGATAAGAACATAATTCTCACTCATCAATAAAAGTACAGATGGCATGCAATCACAAATTTTAACTTTTATTTTGGGGTGGGGAGGGGAAGATGGTGGATGGGACAAAGTTGGGAGATAAAGGGAGAGGTTGTCACAGAGGGAAAATGTAGTGACAAGAAACAGCTGTGGGACTTCCCTGGTGGCGCAGTGGTGAAGAATCCTCCTGCCAATGCAGGGAACATGGGATGGAGCCCTGGTCCAGGAAGACCCCACGTGCCGTGGAACAACTAAGTCCATGCGCCACAGCTACTGAGCCTGCGCTCTAGAGCCTGCAAGCCACAACTAGTGAAGCCCGCGTGCCTAGAGCCCGTGCTATGCAACACGAAAAGCCACCGCCATGGAAGCCTGCATACTGCAACGAAGAGCAGCCCCCGCTGGCCGCAACTAGAGAAAGCCCACGTGCAGCAACAAAGAACCAACGCAGCCAAAGATAAGTAACTAAATTTATTTTAAAAATAATAATAATAGGCACCCATATTTGTCATTTAAATCAACTACAAGGAAAAACATCCATCTGCACTAAAATCAAGGAATGCTCATTAAAACATGCATAAAATGTCATCCTGAGCCTACACTATCAAATCTTAACATCATAACATCCATCTTCTGTCAGGACAAAGAAAAATACCTTTTATACACACACTCATAAGTATAAATTGGTATAGTATTTGGGGAGAACCATCTGGCAGTATTAATCACAGTTAAATATGCATACCCTTTGATCTAAGCCATCATACCTCACTTTCTTGGTTTTAAATGGTATTTCTCACTACTTAATATGTTTTATAATCTTTGGTTCATTAATTATTGTATAGCCCCGCCATGAGAAACGTAAGCATTGTGAGGGCAAAAACAGTTCTAAGTTGCACTGGCAGGAACAAGAACAGTGCCTAGCACAAAGGCATTCCAATATTTGTTGAACTCATGCATGCAAATATTACAGGTTTTTTGTTTTTTTCTTTTGGGCCACTCCATGCAGCATGTGGGATCTTAGTTCCCCAACCAGAGATGATCAAACCCACACCTCCTGCTTTGCAAGCACAGAGTCTTAACCACTGGACCGCCAGGGAAGTCCATTACAGTTTTATTTACTATAATAAATGAGTGACTGGTTAAGAACAATACAACATATTCATACAGGCAACTTATGCAAAAATATCTGAATCACACTGAGTGAAAAGTAATTGAAAAAGAATAACATATAACATTTTGAAAACAGGCTATTTTTGTTTTTCATCTTTAAGAAAAATTCTTAACTCTTTGCCAAGTTACTTAACTAGAACCTTCTCCACTCCACCCCTGCCAAAATGTCTCCTAACTCACGGCACTTCCCTGGTGGTCCAGTGGTTAAGGCTCCACCTTGCAGTGCAGGGGACGCCGGTTCGATCCCTGGTCGGGGAACTAGGATACCACATGCCACGGGGCAAGAAGCCCACGTGCCACAACTAGAGAGCCCACACACTCTGGAGCCCGCACACCGCAACAAGACCCGATGTGCCGCTACTAAGACCCAAGCAGCCAAAAATAAATAAATAAATAAATATTTCAAAAAGTCTCCTAACTCTTAATTCATAATACACCTGAAGCACACTAAATACAGAAATTTTCATATCTAAAATTCTTTGTTGGGGCTTCCCCGGTGATGCAGTGGATAAGACTCCGTGCTCCCAATGCAGGGGGCCCAGTTTCGATCCCTGGTCAGGGAACTAGATCCCACATGCATGCCACAACTAAGAGTTCACATGCCACAACTAAGGAGCCCACATGACGTAACTAAGGAGCTGCCGAGAAGCAACTAAAAGAGCCCATGAGCCGCAACTAAGGAGCCCACCTGCCACAACTAAGAGCCGGTGCAACCAAATAAATAATAAATAAATATCAAAAGAAGAAAATTCAGGGCTTCTCTGGTGGCACAGTGGTTGAGAGTCTGCCTGCCGATGCAGGGAACGCGGGTTCGTGCCCTGGTCCGGGAAGATCCCACATGCCGCGGAGCGGCTGGGCCCATGAGCCATGGCCACTGAGCCTGTGCGTCTGGAGCCTGTGCTCCGCAACAGGAGAGGCCACAACAGTGAGAGGCCCGTGTACCGCAAAAAAAAAAAAAAAATCATTGTTTCTCTGGCATAAATACTACTGACAGTATCCTCTTACCTACCCCATCCATGCCCCAGTTGTAAAAGTTGAGACTTCGAAGTCAAGTTAACATTTTACCAATATACACAAGAAAACTAGCATTCCATGTAGACCAGCCCACTCTAGTAACCAGATTGTATGACTAAACAGCACACCTTATAATCCAACAATACTCGATTACAAATGTGAAGTAATAAATACCCTTGAGAGCACAGATCTAAATTATCTTTGTTAGTAAAATCTTACTTATGATACTGCTGAGTTTTCTGCATTAGCTTCTCTGGCAAGCCATCTTCATCATCAAACTGCTCCATGGGCTCCACAATGACTGGACGAGGGGTCCTGGACAGGTACAAAGCATTAATAAGAATTAATACAGTATCAAGAATTAACGTCCTCCTAGAAATCGTTTATAGTAACTCCAAGATACATACTTGGAAAATTTCTTTCCTAAGTAAAATGTCTGAATCAGCCAAAAACACTGGCTGCACAGACACAGGTGAATGTCCAAGTCAAAAATGAGTGTTTATTTTTAGAGCATGGAGTCTATTCAAGGTGACAGAAAAATACATCAACCACGAACCTGCGTGAGCACTGCAGTTAACTTTTACAAAGCACAATGCAGAAGAGCGAGTACCTGACTCTCATCCTGTGTGTGTCATCCTCATCCCATCAACCCCATCACCTCAAATTCCCACCACTGCCCACCTGTCGGCCTCCCTCTGTGTCCAACCGGTCTTGTAAAGAAAAGTCTTTCTAAAACCCAAAACGTCTCTAAAAGATTATCAGCCAAGAAAAAGGGAACGAGGCGGGGCCAGAAGCAACACATGCAAGGAGGAAACAGGGTGGGGGGACAAGAAGAGTGGATGATGACAGATCTGACCTGGAAACCCTCCTTTATTGTTTTCCAAAGGAAGGGAAAGCTCACTGAGGAAAGACAAGAAAGAGAAGTAACTGCAGTAGATGATATACTGATATTAAAACTTCCCTTGCTATCAGTCTCTCACCATGCAAACAGACTAAAATCTATTTATACTGCCTTCTGAACAGAGATGCTTCAGAGAGAAAAAAGTCACGGTTAATTTCTGAGGTGTTAAGAGACGAGCTAGAGAGGTGAAGGGGCTTCCGCAGTTCAGAATGCTTCCCTTTACAAATAAATAAAGGTCCAGAGATTAAGAGACTAAATCCTCCACTGTAGGGAAAGGAAAGATATAAATCCGTTATCTATAAAGTTATTCCTGGGCTAATGAAGACATTTTAGAGAGAAAATGAATTAGAAGCAGATGTGGAATACCTTGGGGTGATGAAGACAGCGAGATTAGAAACCTCAGATAAAATGCGTGGGAACCCAAAAGAAAAGGGACTCACAGGCCTCATTTTCCAGGGTGAGATCTCGTGTCCAACATGTAAAAACAGAAACATAAGAAAGAATAAGTAAACACAGCCTCCAAGAGTGCACATAACCCAGTGAGGTGTGAGAAAGCAGCCAAGAATTCCTGAACCCACCCAGCCCATAGGAGGATCTAGTATTCTAAGAGCACCCAAAGGGGCCCAGGGACAAAATGAAGAAGATGCACTATATGGACCACTTAACCACTGGAAGCCTTGGCAGGGCCACAAACATTCGAAGAGTAATAGAGCCAGGTAAGAACTACACCTGAACCGAGACCAGCGACGACTGAAACCTGCACCCTCCACTTCAACACCACGAGGCCACCACCACCCTAGAGAAAAATCAGAAGAGACCTCAAGAGGAAAATGTACTGGGGCTTCCCCTGTGGCACAGTGGTTAAGAATCCACCTACCAATGCAGGGGACATGGGATCGAGCCCTGGTCTGGGAAGATCCCACGTGCCACGGAGCAACTAGGCCCTTGCACCCCAACTACTGAGCCTGTGAGCCACAATTACTGAGCCCGCATGCCACAACTACTGAGCCTGCGCTCTAGAGCCTGCCTGCGAGCCACAACTACTGAGCCCACGTGCCACAACTACTTAAGTCCACATGCCTAGAACCTGTGCTCCACAACAAAAGAAGCCACCACAATGAGAAGCCTGCGCACCACAACGAACTGTAGCCCCTGCTCACCGCAACTAGAGAAAACCCACAGGCAGCAACGAAGACCCAACGCAGCCAAAAACAAATAAATAAAATTTTTAAAAATAATAATGCCAATGTCATAACACTGACATTTTCGTCATTTGGGGAGCTAAAACAGATAAAAGGAAATAACAGATGTAAATAAATTCAATGTGTGATCTTTGATTGCAAAAAATAAGTTATAAAACACATTACTAGGCAATGGGGAAACATAATATTCAATTAAAATTAAACTTTAATATTCAATATTAAATAAAAATATTGGATAAACATTGTTTCCTCAGTGTGACAATTATATTGTGGCTTTATTCATAGAAGATACATGCCAAGTACTGTAATCAGGGGTCAAGTATGTTATCCACTGCTGACTCTTAAATGAATCAGCAAAGAAAAAAACAAATTTGTACATATAGTGAAAAAACTATGACAAAATGCTAACAATCAGTGAGTGTAGATAACATTCATATTAACATTAAAGGATTGTTTTAAAGGGAAAATATCTTTCTCTAAACTGAAATTAAAACATACACTTTTTCCTCCTTCTAAGGAAGCAACTCCAACATCATCTTTAGGGTATCAGTTGGAAAATAGTAAGAACAGACCACTATATCTTCATTGAAGTTAACCTGAAATGATCTTTAAAAAAACAAACCAAAAAAAAAAGGGAAAGGGAAAAAAATTTGAAAAGTGAGCACCTATCATTATGCCTCCTCAATTCCTGTGAGCTCCAGGCATGAGCACCTCTGCTGCTCTAGGTGTGATTCTAATGTTTAAAGATGTGGACATACCTTTATTATCATAGGTGAAGCTTTTTAATTTCCCTTTTCTATTTTTCTGCCTCTTTTGTAATTTCAAAACAGCATAGACATATAATTTACACATACTTCTGCATACTGTGTGGTAATCATTATATATACTGTGTACAAGGTCATTTACCTAAAGGCATGTGTGGTATACAACATTTTATGACAATTTAAAGGTATTTTCAAGAGAAATTTTGATTACACAAGATGTCTACATTTAGAAACTAAATCCCTGTGATACCACTCCTATAAATCACTTGTATTACCTCAGATATCTGAGATACAGTCAGTCCATCAGTAAATATTTGATTACCTAACAGGTACCAAGACTGCAGTTGGGGCTAGGGATACAATGATAAACAATCCCTGAAAGTCTTCTAAGAGACCCACCCCCTCCAAAAAAATGAGTAAACAAAAGAACCATTTTAAGACCTAAGAAGAAAAAACGATGCTGTCAGAAAGAATAACAGAGGCGCCACTTTAGATAACGCAGTCCAGAAAATCCTCTCCATAAAGTGACCCTTCAGCTGAGGCCAACTATTCAAACAGCAGGGAGAAGAGCATCCTGAGCTCCATGAGAATGTTTAACAACAAAGGACCTGAGTAAGGAGAGTCTACAGAAAGAAGAAACCACTCCACCTGCAGCACAGTATAAGAACCAAGGGAGGGCTTCCCTGGTGGCGCAGTGGTTGAGAGTCCGCCTGCCGATGCAGGGGACACGGGTTTGTGCCCTGGTCTGGGAGGATCCCACATGCCGCGGAGCGGCTGGGCCGGTGAGCCATGGCCGCTGAGCCTGCACGTCCGGAGCCTGTGCTCCACAACAGGAGAGGCCACAGCAGTGAGAGGCCCGCACACCACAAAAAAAAAAAAAAAAAAAAAAGCAAGGGAGAGACTTCCCTTGTGGCACAGTGGTTACGAATCCACCTGCCGACACAGGGAACGTGGGTTTGATCCATGGTCTGGAAGATAAGATCCCACATGCCGCAGAGCAACTAGGCCTGTGTGCCACAACTACTGAGCCCACGCGCCTAGAGCCTCTACTCCGCAAGAAGAGAAGCCACAGCAAAGAGAAGTCCACGCACCACAATGAAGAGTAGCCCCGGCTCGCCGCAACTAAAGAAAGCCCATGCGCCCCAACGAAGACCCAATGCAGCCATAAATAAATAAATTTACTTAAAAGAAAAAAAAAGAAGCAAGGGACTTGGCATCAGACTAAACTCCACCATTTATCTGCTGTGCAATCTTAAGCAAACTACTTAACATCTCTGGGCCAATTTTCTCACCTGAAAAATGGAACAAATAATAACCAGCGTTGTTCTGGAAATCCATGAAATAAGACACATAAAATGTTCAACACCTTGCCCATTCCCTCAAAATTGTTATAAATTATTCTAAAAGCTACCCGTAAGAATTAAATATTTACCAATGCCTGGCTATGACTTTAAAAAACAGCAATTAATCAAATTTTTAGTCCTGCTTTAGTCCTTGCCTTCCTTCACTCTTTAAATAACTATTACAAGCTTACTATGTGGCCAAGAAATATTAGAATACAAATGTTAGGGTTATAGTGTTAAGCCAGACAAAGTCCCTGCCCTAGTGGAGCTTATATTCTACCGCAGAGAAAGACATGCAACTTAACACTAAGTGCTATGAAGAAAAATAAATTGGAGAATAAAGCATCAGCCTATTTTAAGATAAAACAGTCAGCTTCCCTGAGGAGATAACATCTTAGCAAAATGTGAATAAAATGCAAGAGCAAGGCCCATGATGATCTGGAGAGAGAGCATCTCTAAGCAAAGGGAACAAGAGCCAAGTCCCTGAGAGAACAAGTTGGCAGAGCTGTAATTCATGCTACATCTGCTATAAAACAGCTTTAGCACAAATGCTTAACTGTCAAAAACAAACTGAAAAATGCTTTACAAATCACCAGACGAAGCTCCTTGGGGCCAGGAAACAATTTTTTTTACATTGTCTTTGTATCCAATTCCCCAAATCCTAAAATATTTGAACGATCCCAATCAACAGCACAAGTACCAGAGGTGGGCAGAGTATCAGATAAAAGAAATCAATTCAGTAATCAACTAAGGAACTTTTACACCAAATTCAGTCTGAAGACTAAGTAAGAATGCATATCCAGAGCTTTCTTGTGGGCAAACTGAAAGGAAAGACATGTTAACATGGCAACAGGTTTAATGACCATCATAATTACTTTAAAATATTTTTAAGTAAATGGAGAGATACATCACATTCGTGGATTGGAAAAGGTTGATAGAAGATGTTAATGTTCCCCAGAATGATCTGTAAACTCAAAGCAATACCAATCAAAAGCCCAGCAGATTATAAACAGAAACTAACACACCACTGTAAAGCAATTATACTCCAATAAAGATGTTTAAAAAAAAAAAGGCCCAGCAGAATTCTTTTTAATTGACAAGTTGATTTTAAAACCAGTAAGGATATACAAGGAAATGATAATAACCAGAACAATTCTGCAAAAAGAATAAAGCTGGATGATACTATCTGACTTCAAAGCTTAGGGTAAGGCAATTAAGAAAGTACAGTACTGGTGTAATAGACATACTGATCAATTAAACAGAAAAAAGAGTACAGATTTTTTTTCCCATTTTTTTGATAAAGGTAAAAGGTAACAAAGGGGAAATCATAATCTTTTCAATTAATGGTGCCAGAACACCCAGATATCTATGTTAAATAAATAAACTGTTACCTCCCATCATACTCAATACGAATCACAGGTTTAAATAAAAAGCTATAAAATTTCTCAAGAAAACATGAGAAAGCTTTGCTACCTGAGGAAAGGCAAAGATATCATACAAGGATTCAAAAAGAACAAAGCATGAAAGAAAATAAATTGATAAACTGGACTTCACCAAATATAAAAACTTCTGCCTTTGAAAACCACTATTTAAAAAATTAGAAAGCAAACCACAGACTGGGAGAAATAGTCTTAATACAGACCTGTACCCAGATCTGTTAATAATGTAAGACAAACAAGTCAATTAAAAAACAGGCAAAAAATGTCAACAGACATTTCACAAAACACATAAAAAGAGCCAAAAAGCACATGAAAAGATGCTCATCATTGGTCATTAGGAAAATAAAATCTAAACCACAATGAGACACCACTACACTCACTAGAATATCTAAAAGGCTGAAAATACGAAGTGCTGTTAAGGACATGATCAACTAGAACTCTCTCATCCATTGCTGGTGGGAATGTAAATAGGTACAAACATTCTGAAAACAGTTTGGCAGTTTCCTATAAAGCTGAACATATGGTCATTTCCTCCTAAGTATTACCCAAGCCACATGAAAGCATAATGTTCACAAGAAGCTTTGTACACAGATGTTCATAACAGCTTTATTCACAATGGCCAGTAGTTGGAAGCAACTTGAACATCCACCCACAGGTCACCGGACAAAGTTGTAACTCGGCCATAAAAAGGAACAAAATACTGGTACAATGATATGGATGAAATCTCAAAAACACGCTAAGCAAAAGAAATCAGACATGAAAGAATACACACTATATAATTTCATTTCTATGAAATACAAGAAAAGACAAAACTAATTTATAATAACAGAAAGATCAAGAGCGGTCTAGGCAGGGATAAGAGGTGGGGAGTAACTGCAGAAGGACACAAAGGAACTTTTGTTGAATGCTGGAAATGTTCTATATCTTGACTGTGGTAGTAGGTTACATGACTACATACATACATTTTTAAAAACTCATTGAGCTCTACATGCAAAATTGGGTGCATTTTAACATATGTAAATTATACTTCAAAGTTGATCAAAATGTCATTCATTCATTAAATGTAACATTTTGCTTTGCACACAATAGACATTCAGTAAATTGAACAAAAATTGTAGTACAAAACATTCCTGAGATTCATGTAGAACGGATCAGTACACTGAAATCTGAATAAAGTATGACTCCTGACGGTACATAAATATACCCTATTTGTATTCACTGAGTATTTACTCAACACCTACTTACCACATGCCAAGACAACATACAGAATGCACTGCAAAGAAAGAAGTGAGAACAGAGAGAAGCCCATGTGTAACTGTATAGAAGAATGACAAGACATTTAAACTCACGTTGTTAGCAAGAATGCCCCATCACCACATCTCTCCAGAGCCTTTCGTGCAGGAGGTTTTGCTGCAAATTCCACAAAGCCTTTTCCCGTAGCTCTACCACGGTCATCCACAACAACCACAGCTTTCTCTACTGGACCAAACTGGGAAAATGCTTGCTCTAGAAGCTCATTGGAGACAACCGGAGAGAGGTTCTTGACAGTTAAGGCTGCTCCATGTGTAGCAAAACGAATTCGGAGAGGTCTGCTCTTCAAAATGGTGCCATCCAGCTCTGCTTTTGCAATTTCAGCCAGTGTTCTGGACTCCTTTTTAGGAAGAAAAAAATCACCTTTTTAAAAATTACAGTAACAAAAAATTTTAAATAGTGGTTTGTTTCTAGGGAGGAGAGCTGGGCAGCTTTAGAAAATGACTGATAAGGTCATCCTGTTTTTGCGTCATTCAATGATGGTATCACATGCATTTTATTAATATTTTAAAGATAATTAATTTTAAACATTTTAAGTAGAAAGTTCCAACCTCAATGTCGTGTAAAAAGTCATCACTTAAAGATGATCTACTCATAAACAAATTGCCAACTATTAAATATTCAAAGTAATATCTTTTATCAATCTCCTACATGTATTAAAAGAAACACATAATTACTTTTTGAGACCGATTACCAGTTACTAGAAACTATTACTGAAAATATATTAATTCTCTACACACTCCATGTTTCTGATATTTGTATCTTAATAAAGCGTACCACCTCTCCAATGCCAGACAAATCCCTTTCCATTTTTATTTCCATTTCTTTTATATTATCTATAAGAAAACTACTATCAGGTGTTATTAATCACCTCTTCTGAAATACTTTCATGGGCCACACATTTCTCACCGTTACAGTGAGAGAAGCAAACACACATTCATGGGCTGTAAGAGTTCTCTCCCAAAAAAAGAGTTCTCTCCATTATACAGAAAAGTGCACATACACTTATTATAAACTAGAAAATATGTTCATTGCTGAAACTACAAGTTAAGAGAGCTTCCTTCTTGAAGAATTCAAAGTTGGTATAAAACAGGCATCTAAAACAACAAACTCGTAAACTTACTACAAGTATGTTCTTTTTGTGCTGTGAAAACTTCCCAGCAAAAACTGAAAGAGGCTTTATACGCATTTGTGAGAAAGTACAATGTACTTTCTTATGAATAAGGTCACAATAGCTTTTTATTCAATCCCTAAAATGTTCACAACAGCTTTAAATTACAGCACTTAGGCAAAAATCTACCTACAGAACCAATTTTACAAAGACAAATGAACCTAACCTTTTTATAGATATTCAAAATAGCCATTTTGTTTATTACTCTTAACTTAGTAACAGTAGTAGTAGTACCAGCAAACATTTCACGAATATCTAACAAGGGATATGTCCTTTGCAGCTAAGATGTCATGTAATCCAGCAACTCTGAGAGGCAGATTTTAGGAACAGAGTCTTGAATTAAAATGCTGTCACACATATAACTGGGAATGGAAAGAAACGTGAGGAAATTTCATGGGGTGATGATAACATCTTGATCTAAAATCATGAAACCATACACTTAAAATTTGTGCATTTCATTATATGTAGATTTCAAATACCTTAAAAAACAATATTGGACTCTAGTTAATGATAAGCATGCTGAAGTGTTTAAGAGTCATCAACTGATGGATGGAGATAAGAAATACAGATATGTGAAAAAAAATACAGCAAAATTTAACCGTAGAATCTAGGTGTTGAGTGTATGAATGTTCATTTTTATACTCTGAAATTATTCATAATAGTATGTTTGCGGGCAGGGGAATAGAGAGAGCCTGGAGGACTTTGTAAAACTGTCAAGTGTTTCTAGAGGGCATCTCCTGCTCAGATTCAGTCTGACATAGTGACAATGTCACGTATCTTCTTTTTTTCAGGATGAGCAAGAAATCTCCATTTTTTATGTTAAATCAAGTACTTTTTTACTGTTGGCAACAAATTCAATTTTTAATACTTTCTGGCCAAATAAAATGTTTATGCTGTCTGGAATTTTCAATGCCACAGTCCATCTTCAAAGTTTATACTTTTTATGGTTTTAAATGGTTCTACATCAGGGTTCCCCCAACCTCAGCACTAGTGACATTAGGGGCAAGATACTTCTTACCGTGGAGGGCTGTCCCGTGCACTGTAGGATGTTTATGCTAGTAGAGCCACCCCCCAGTTTGACCACCAAAAATGTCTCCAGACATTGCCAAATGTCCCCTGGGAAGCAAAACCGCTCCATTTGAGAACCACTGCTCTAAACGTGTATCAAAGTAACTGTAAAGTCAATTAAAATTATGTATTTGAAATGAACCAGATTTCTTTACTTCATAGCTCCCGATAATGACAATAAGATAACTTTTATTAAGTGGTTATTACATGCCAGCCATTCATTCCTCCCCCCATATATACACATATACACACACGTGTGTGTGCATTATCTTTCATTATCCTTACCAACAATCTAACGAAGTGGGTTTTGTTACTATCCTCCCTTCGCATATGGGGAAACAGGCTTGTAAAGGTTCAAGTACCTTGCCCAAGATCACACACAAATGCTGATTTCTATCTATACAAAATTCACAACCTCCATCAATACACCATAAATACAGCCTTCCAGCTGGTATCTCTGCATCACTGTTCATAAAACGTAAACTACAGGTTCTTAACTGAAAGGAATACAAAAAACAAAAAGAAACTGAAGTGACTACCCCAAGACAGAGACTGCTTCAACTAGGGTCTAATGATTTCCACTGGCTCCACTTTCACTTTCCAACAGCTCTTTCCAAAGCACAAGATCTTTTCTCCCACTGTTTACTAATGGTGAAAATTCCCCACCGCAAGAGTACTAATAAGTTAATAAGGAAATACACTGACGCAAAATGAAAAAATCCTTGTAGTCATTCAGTAAAGTTGCTTAAGTAGCCTGCAGTACATTCATACTGTGAAATACAATGTGGTCCTTAAAAAGAATCTAGTGCCATGAAAAGATGTTGAAGATGTTTACATTAAATAAAAAACTCAAAGCACAATACAATGTATATGGTACAATTTGATTTTTATGGAAAAATTACACAATGTTTAACAGTGATCATCTTTACTAAATGTACTAAGGTAGGGAAGATCTGCTAATGTTAGAATTGTAATTAACAGAATGTCTCTGAAAAAAAAGAAAAGAGAATGTCCCTGAAATAAAAGATGACTTCAAACTATATGCTGGGCAGGCCCATTACATTCTCTGCTACGTCTCCTCTAATATCTTATAGATCTAATAACGATCTACAAGAAGCACATATCATGTCATAATTAAACATAAAAAAGCACTAGAGGAGGGGGTTTAGTCCCCAGTGACTGACTAAAAGTAAATTCAGTTGATTTTAATTCTTTAATTAGAACAATGGTTCTCAAACTTTAACAAGTATCAGAATAACATGGAAGGGTGGTTAAATCCCAAAATTGCTGGGCCCCAACCCCAAATTTTCTGATTCAGTAGATCAAGGGTGGGGCCCTAGAATTTGCTTTTCTAACAAATTCCCAGTTAACAATTTTTGAGATGGTTTAGGGTCAGCATTGGTATTATGAACGGCAGGGAAGATCATTTAGGTGGACTTCTGCTTACACTAGGAAGAGATCTGAACTTACTGGACGGGGACCAACCACACTTTTGTGAATCACTGCTCCAGAAATCTGGTTTACTAAAGCTAAAAGTAGGGGAAAATAAAAGCAGAAACCAAGTTCCAGTCAAACTAATGACAGCTTTAACTACAGTAAGCTTGCTTTAAAATGAACTACAACTTTTCAGTAAATTTGTCCAATCTAAATTGTCAGTAACCATCCAAAACCTAAAAAGCAGCGTCTGGGTCTAAAATTCCACAAAATGTGTCCAAAATACACACAGTGTTTCTCATCGCTCATGTACCATGGACTCAACAATATGGGTTAGAACCTCACGAGTAGCTGCCACTTAAATTCTTTTCCCCACCATTACATACAAGGAATGCTGACCCTACACCATCTCAAAACTGTTGCCTCACCTCATCAATTAACTGGAAAACTACAATTAACTAGAAATAAATTAAATATTAACTACTGAACAAGTAAAAAGAATTCCTAAAAACACAAATCAGATCAAATTATACCACTATTTTAGAGCCACTACACCACCAGTACACACTACAGCCACCATACGATTACTTATATTCAGATCAGGTATGCACTATGATTTTTCTAAGTAGAAAAAAATACATAACTCAGAAATATTTAAAGCTCTTAAATATACCTGTTAAACACAGAGTTCAGGTTAAACAGTAAAATTATCCAAGAAGTAAATCTCATAAACTAAATTCTAATTTCCAACTGACAAATTTTTAACATTCCTACACAAAAATTTAGGGTGATGGAGTCTAGGAGCATATCTCAAAGGAGCAGACAACAGCAGCCCTTCTCACCTCCCCATTTCATAATCCCACAGGTAATTTTTTTAAAGAAAAGAAAAGCGAGGACCTGTATTTTCCAATATAGTAGCCACAAACCACATGTGGCTATTTAAATTAAGAATAAAAATACAGTGGGTGTGAAAAAGAATTAAAAATAAACATGGGGAAACTGAGAAAAAAATAAATAAATTACAAAAATAAATTAATTAAGAATAAATAAAATTTAAGAGTCAACTCCTCGGCCGCAATAGCCACATTGCAAGTGCTGAACACTCACATACGACCAGTGGCTATTCTATTGGACAGTGCAGACACACTGAGGGAGGAAGAATTTTTAGTAGCTTTAAAATTAGGAAGGAAAAGGATTTTTCCACATCAAAAAAGAAATGTTTATTGGCTTAAGTATAAGGCTTCCAGAACAGGGAAATTCAGCCTTACCTTTCTTCCTCCAGAATATCAACTTCAAAATAGAACAAGATGGTGCCAGAGGCCAAAGATGGTTAAAATGTTAAATAACACCCTTCTGGAAAGTTTACTAAAAGTTGCCTATAACACGTTATTGTAGAAGCCTAAAAGCTTAACTTCCTTTATTTTAAGTTTTGGATTTACGTTAAAAATAATTTTAGCAAGTGAAAGGCTGTTTCTCTAATGTCCAAAGGATAAACATACTTATAATTTCATGTTCAAAATGCCAATTATTAAACTTGAATTTTAAGAAAATGTCTAACCCTTCTCTTGAAGCCATTTAGATCTTCAAATGTTCTCCCTAATACTAGTGTCACTGAATTATAATCAGTTTTGTCTACATATTAAAATTTTGCCTTTGTCTACTCACGGAGAGAACTCGATTTTGAAAGTGTAAGTTCCAAAAAGAAAGCTTCGGGAAACTGCAATGAACATAAAATTTGAGGATCAAACTAGAAAGACAAAAGACACAAAACCCACTTATTTATATAAAGCGGCCTCCCTCTAAGAAAGATATTCTGTTGGGGAAAACAAAATCCATCTAAACACGAATTACATTAATGCTGTATAAGTGACACTGTGAACACAAAGCACAGAGAAAACCCTAATAAAGTAGCTCTTTTGTCCTGTAAGTGTAAACGCTCACTGCTCAAATTTCTTTTAAAGATAATTAGGGAGGCATAGTTTATGCATGATGTCGGAAAACCCATTAAGGTTTAGACTGAAAAGGGGTAAAATATGTGCTATTCTAGTATCACAATGTATAAGCGGGACATAAAATAGCAGAAGTCCCCGTGGGAAGCACGAGGCACGCGCTGAGGAGAGGGGAGGAGAGGGGATACGAGGGGAGGGGATACGAGGGGAGGAGAGGGGATACGAGGGGAGGGGAGGGGAGACGAGGGGAGGGGAGACGAAGGGAGGGGAGGGAGACGAGGGGAGGGAGGGGGGGGGGGGGGGGGGAGGGGGGGGGGGGAGAGGAGGGGAGGGAGGGAGAGGAAGGGAGGGGAGGGAAGGATGACCTCTCGGCCCTCGCGGCCCCGCGCCCCGCCCCCGGCCGCCCCTCACCAGGCGGATGAAGCCGAAGCCGCGGTCGCGGTTGATGAACACCTCGCTGGGCTCGCCGTAGCGCTCAAACAGCCGCTTGAAGTCGTCCTCGGTGATGTCCGTGGGCAGGTTCCCCACGAAGAGGCGGCAGCGCTGCGTGTACGTCTTCTCGCCCGGCTTGAGAAAGCTCTTGATGTCGATGGTGAAGCCGCCCTCCTCGGCCGGCCGGTCCTCGGCGGGCACGGCGGGCGCGGGCGGCTCGCCGGGAAGGGCGAGCGCCATGGCCGCCGGCTCGCCCTCGCCGGCCGCCGACTCTAGAGCGCGGAGGCGCGCCGGGTTCTTCTCGATGCGCACTTGCTTCAGGTTTCCTCTCAGCATCATCTCAGCGCGTGCCCCCCCGGACCCGGCCTAGAGCTCGACCTGCGTGTCGATGTCCGCGCACGGAACCGGGGTCGGGAAGGACGCGCTCAGGTACGCCGCCAGCTCGCCGCTCGCACTCAAGCCCCGGCCGCTCGCCCAAGATGGCGCCGCCACAGCCGCGGTGGGAGGGAGAGACGCCGCCGAAGCCCCGCCCCTCCGCCGAAGCCGCGCCGGGGCCAACGCGCCTGCGTACTGCTGCGCCCACGGCACCCTGGTGGCGCGCGCGTGCGCACCCTTGTGCGCGCGTCCCTGTTCGCAGCCTTCCCAGGGCTGAGAGGAAGGCAGATCCCTAGCACCGTAGGAGACAGTGATGTTGGAAGTTGCAGCAGTGTGTGAAAACGCAGTGATTCGGGAAATGTCCACATTCTCTTAGATGCCCAGCTCAATTTTCAATGACAGCAGAAAGTGAAAACTTGCAGATTTATACATAGCATTGAATAACGAGGTATTTCCCAGTAATTGAAACAAGTAAAAACACATTTCTGCCCTTTTCAAGAGCAAGCTTTTATTATATTTCCTAATGAAAAATCCAATTCTATAAAATAATTATGATGTTGATTATTCACCTCAGAGAAGGACTCCGTGAACACCTATGGACCACACCCTAGGACAGGGTCATCAAACGTTTTCTGCAAAGCGCCAGATGGCAAATATTTTAAGATCTTCAAGCCATAATCTGAGTCGGCCAAACTACTCAGTTCTGTCCAGTACCGCTCCTGGCACGTGGTAGGTCTTCATTGGGTATTAAAAAGAAATGAATTCACAGTCACTTTACAAAACCGTTCAGTTTCTCGTGAACTTAAACAAATGCTTGATTTAGAACAGCAATCCCTCTCCTAGTCATCCAATTGAAATGAAAACTTGTGTTCACTCAAAAACCTGTATGAAAATGTTCATACGGCTTTATCTGTAATCAACGAAAACTGGAAACAACCCAAATGTCCAACTGGTGGATAGTCTAACAGTGGTACATTCATGTAATAGAATATATTCAGCAGTAAAAAGGACTAAACTCCTGATAGATGCAATAATGTGACTCAAAGGCTACATACCGAATATTTGACATTCTGGAAAACTAGCTACAGAACACAGATCAGTGGTTGCCAGGAGCTGGGAGGTAGGGAGGGGTTGACTAAGTAGAGATACAGAGAAATTTTTGGAAAGATAAAAGTACATCTTGGGACTTCCCTGGCAGACCAGTGCTTAGGACTCCACGCTTTCATTGCCGTGGCCCCGGGGTCAATCCCTGGTTGGGGAACTGAGATCCTCCCCACCTCACTCACAGCTGATATTGTCAAATTTATTAATTTCACCGAAAAAAAAGGCACAGTAAATAAGGCGCAGTGGTTGAGAGTCCGCCTGCCGATGTAGGGGACACGGGTTCGTGCCCCGGTCCGGGAGGATCCCACATGCCGCGGAGCGGCTGGGCCCGTGAGCCATGGCCGCTGAGCCTGCGCATCCGGAGCCTGTGCTCCGCAACGGGAGAGGCCACAACAGTGAGAGGCCCGCGTACCGCAAAAAAAAAAAAAAAAAAAAAATCCCCTCTTAGGCCAAACCACTGGATGGCAGGTTTCAAGTGCTTCGCTTCTATAGTTACCTAATCCCCTTCCAAGTGATTAGTTACTTGATCTATACTGAACTATTTCCATCAGCAAAAGAAACTGTTGATAAAACTTTCATCTTGGAAAAAAAAAGGAAAGAAAAGGGAAAAACCTTCTCTACACCGCATGTCGTTCTTTAGCTACTATTTCTTTAGTCAAGAAAGAAAGAAAGGAAAGAAGAGTTGTCTGTTTTCTGTCTCGATTTGCTCATCCTTGATTTCTTCAGCCACACTGATCAGATGTCTATCCCACATTCCATCCCTCTGAAACCTCTCTTGTCACCATGGGCGACAGCTTCCACTTTGACCAGATGCAGCAGTCATATCACAGATCTTCCAGCAGCATTTGATGTTGTAGATCTGGGCCTGAGTTCTTTCATGTGTAATGTGGGAAGAATACCTTCTTTACAGAGTTACTGTGCCTATTAAATGAACTGAAGTATAGTCTTTGGAAAATAATCTGGCATCATAAATACAAGTACTATTATCGATCACTTCCCTCCTACATTTTTGAAACACTGCACTACGATATTCCCTGATATTCTCACAGCCACTGGCCGCTCTCTCTGTCTTTCCTGGGAATCTTCACTTGAGAACGTTGGAGAACCACAAGTCCAAGTCCTCCTCTCCTCTTCTGCTACACGCATTCCCTAGGTCAGACCGTCCACACCAGGGTGCCTCAGAAGCATTGGAGCAGGTTTTTTAAACCTCAACACTATTGATATTTTGGGCCGAATAATCATTTATCGTGAGGAGATGTTTAGCAGCATCACTGGCTTCTACCCGGTAGATGCCAGTAACACCCCACTCGCAGTGGTTACAAACCAAAATGTGCTGGGAATTATTCTAATTGCTTTACACTCACTCATTAATCATCACAACAGTCATTTAAGGTATATACTATTAATATCATCTCTTTTTTTAAGACTTTATTTTTTGGAGCTGTTTTCAGTTCGCTGCAAAATTAATAGGAAGGTATAGAGATTTCCCATGCACTCCCTGCCCTACACCTGCACAGTCTCCCCACTATCACCATCCCCGCCACATGGGACATTTGTTACACTTATTGACCCTACGCTGACATGTCATCATCGCCCAGAGTCAAGAGTTTACATTAGGGTCGCTCTTGGTGGTGTACAGACTCTGTGGGTCTGAAAAAATGTATAATGATGTGTATCCAGCATTGTAGTATCCCACATAGTATTTTCACTGCCCTAAATCTCCTCTGTTCTCCACTTGTTCATCACTCTCCCCATCCAACCCCTGTTAACCCCTGATTTCTTTACTGTCTCCATAGCTTTGCCTTTCCAGATTATTTCTATGTAGCCTTTTCAGTCTGTCTTCTTTCACTAAATAATATGCATTTAAAGTATTCTAGGGCTTCCCTGGTGGTGCAGTGGTTGAGAATCTGCCTGCCAATGTAGGGGACACGGGTTCGAGCCCTGGTCTGGGAAGATCCCACATGCCGCGGAGCAACTAGGCCCGTAAGCCACAACTACTGAGCCTGCACGTCTGGAGCTTGTGCTCCACAACAAGAGAGCCGCGACAGTGAGAGGCCCGCGCACCGCGATGAAGAGTGGCCCCTGCTCGCCGCAACTAGAGAAAGCCCACGCACAGAAACGAACAGCCAACACAGCCAAAAATAAATAAATAAGTAAATAAATTTTAATAAAAATAAAAATAAAGTATTCTAGGTCTTTTCCTGATCTTATAGATCACTTCTTTCTAGTGTTAAATAATATTACACTGTCTGGATGTACAACAGTTTATCCATTCACCTACTGAAGGACAACTTGGTTGTTTCAAGTTTGGCAATTATGAATAAAGCTGCTATAAACATATGCATCTGGGGCTTCGCTGGTGACGCAGTGGTTAAGAACCCACCTGCCAATGCAGGGGACACAGGTTCGAGCCCTGGTCTGGGAAGATCCCACATGCCGCGGAGCAACTAAGCCCGTGCGCAGTGGTTGAGAGTCCGCCTGCCGATGCAGGGGACACGGGTTCGTGCACCGGTCCGGGAAGATCCCACATGCCCGGAGCGGCTGGGCCCGTGAGCCATGGCCGCTGAGCCTGCGCGTCTGGAGCCTGTGCTCCGCAACGGGAGAGGCCACAACAGTGAGAGGCCCGCGTACCGCAAAAAATAAATAAATAAATAAGAGATCTGTAGTTTTCCTCATATAGATCTTGTAGATAAATTGTTACATTTATATCTAAGTATTCTAAGTATTCATTTGTTTTGGGTGGCAATGTAAGTGGTATTGTGTTTGTAATTTCAAATTCCACATGTTCATTGCTGGTGTGTAAAAACATTACTGACTTTTGTGTATTAACCTTGTATCCTGAAATCATCCATTTACTTTTTTTTTTTTTGGCCATACCACGCGGCTTGTGGGGTCTTAGTTCCCTGACCAGGGATAGAACCCGAGCCCCCTGCATTGACAGCATGGAGTCTTAACCACTGGACCGCCAGGGAAATCTCCCCCCTCCATTTACTTTTAATCTATATATGCCTTTATACATTTTTTAAAAGATTTATTTTTTTACATTTATTTATTTTATTTTATTTTTGGCTGCATCTGGTCTTAGTTGCAGCACACGGGATCTTCACTGAGGCATATGGGATCTTCCCTTGCGGTGCACGGGCTCTTTGTTGTGGCATACGGGCGTCTCTCTACTTATGGTGTGCAGGCTCCAGAGCACGTGAGCTCTGTAGTTTGCAGCACGCAGACTCTCTAGTTGAGGCACACGAGCTCAGTAGTTGTGGCGCACGGGCTTAGTTGCCCCACGGCATGTGGGATCTTAGTTCCCCGACCAGGGATCAAACCTGCGTCCCCTGCAGTGTAAGGCAGATTCTTTACCACTGGACCACCAGGGAAGTCCCTATACCTTTATATTTAAAGTGGGTTTCTTATACACAACATAGAATTGGGTCTTGTTTTTTGATCAACCCTGTCTTTTAATTGGTAATCTCTGTCTTTTAATTGGTGCACTTATATCAATGATGTTCAAAGTGATTACTGATATAGTTTGATTAATATATACCATATTTGTTATCATTTTTCATTTGTTGCCCTAGCTCTTTGTTCCGATATTTATACTTTTTAATTGAAATATAGCTGATTTACAATGTTATGTTAATTACTGCTGTACAGCAATATGACTTAATTATACATATAATACATTCATTTTCATTCTTTTCCATTATGGTTTATCATGCTCCTATTTTTGTAGACCACACTTTCTGCCTTCTGTAGTCTTAACTAAGCATTTTATAATTTAATTTTCTCTCCTTCTTAGCATATCAGTTGTACTTATTTTTCTACTTTTTTAAGTGGTTGCCCTGCAGTTTGCAATATACATTTATTTACAACTAATCCAAGACCACTTTCAAATAACACTGATAACTTCACAGGTAGTGTATTTTGTAATAGTAAAATAATCCTGATTCCTCCCTCTCATCCCTTGTACCATTTCAGTCATTCATTTCATCCATATACAAGCCTATATATGTATAA